GGTCACCGAGGCCAGGCCCCGCACGTCCCCGGCCGCACAATAGGATCACCGAGCCGCGCCACGAGGGCCCCCCGGCCGCGAGGGCCCGGGACCGAGGACGGAGACCCAGTGGCACCGCACCTGCAGGGTTAATGAACCAGTTCAAGATGGAACCGCTGCACAAAAGGAAACCGTGCCCTGTCCTCGCAGAACTATAAACACTCGTGCGGCGCGAGGCGGGCGTGCCGGGCCTCGGCGGGCCGGCCCGGAGCAGACCCGGGCCTCCAGTTACCGCGCGGACCCAGGGCTAACACTTCGCAGAGCAGCGACGAGTCCTGTTGCCAAGGTCAACAGCACAGATGCACTAATTGCATTACGAGCTTGACATCCAGCGGCCACCGCTGGCAGGCAGGGCAGGCAAAGGTTAAGTCAGCAAGGCTTGTCACAGCCCCTCTAACGACCCACCTTCAGGGCCGGGCGCTGGCCGGCTCTGCGGCCCCCCCTTCCCCCAGTCCTCAGGCGGGGGCAGCGCCCGGAAGGCTTTCCGGCGCGCAGAGGGGCGGGGGTCTCGGGGGCGGGCACAGCCGCCGCCGGGGCCCTGGGAAGGGACAGGCCCCCAGAGGCCCGGCTCAGACCCGCCGCACGCCCAGGTCTCTCTGGCGGGCGTCCTTCCAGCCTGGAGAGCCAGCCCTTCCCTGGGCTGAGCACGCAGACCAGCCCTGGCTGATCCTCACCCAAGTCGAGCCCGTTGTGTTGTTTTATCATTTCGATTAATATTTTATGCCGCCTGTGACACAACTGGCCTTGTTTGCTTGCCTGGAAATGACAGGCAGCGAAGTGCATTGGGAACCACAAAGGCGTCCAAATCAGAAGAGAAAACCGAAGGGTGGGTTTTTTTTAAAATACCAAAGTTTATTTAAGGCGATAGGAAAACATTCGATTGGTACGGACTCTGTTTGCGTCCTATTTTCTCGTTGCTGTGCAGCAACGTGACATGTGCTGTAATGGCCACCCTGCTCACCTTCACGAGCCCGGGACAGGCTGGCCTGACTCTGGCAACAGCAGAGGGGTCCCGTGGGACACACACACACACACACGTGCGCGCGCGCCCACGCACACACGGACAGAACCCTCCAAAACTGCCCTTCTCCAACTACCCCGTAGCCGGGAGAGGGTGCGTACCCTCATTAGTGGTGAAGAAGATTTTAATTTTCCTCGAAGAGAAGCGGGTGCCAGCACTTACATTTAAGAATGCTGAATTCCAGCGGGTGTTGGGGGCACGGAGGGGAGCCTTGGTTTTACTCTGAATTCCCCCCGAAGAGAAGCTTCTGCGAGCTCCCTCGAGGAGAAGGGGAAGGGCTGCGAGGCTGCAGTTGGAAATGAAACCTGACCCCCTTTGGCCATCGTCCTGTATACAGAAAATAATCAGCCTGCTAAGTAACTCCTGCTGTGAGCTCGTACCTTCTTCTTTCTCGGCCTCTGAAAAGATCTAAAAATACTGGATGATCATATGTTGTGGAAGTTTAAAATGTACATAAAAACCCCCACTGTTACCTAATCAGCTCTTCCTCGGCGAGGTGGGAATTAATTGGCAGGCCTTCTGGAGACCACCGAAGGATGCCTTTGAAAAGAGGCTCGGCTTTTTAAGTGTTATTTTTAAAATAAATGTTTGCAAATTCCTCCTTCCCCTTTCCCTCGTACTTACTTACTGTTCACCTTTCCTGTCGCAGGGAAAACAATCTGCCTCCCCATGTTAGAAAGTGGCTTCTGTGTGGCTGCCTTTAGAAAGCTGAATTGTAAATGTGTCCTGTTGGGGGGGGGGGCGCGGCAGGCAAGCCATGCATACACAGATGAAAGAGGGAAGCCCTCCGCAGCGGGGGCGGCGGCCTCCTGTCCCCGAGCTGAAACGCAGCCGGGGAGACCCCCGCTCCCGCCCCCCGGCACATGCTCACCACAGTGAAAAGGATTTTTTAAGATAGCCATGTGACTGAAAATAAAAACACACTTTGAAGCAATTAGTGCTAACAAACCCAACACGCGATGGCAAATTGTTTTAAATTATAATATCCTTTTGTTCTTCCTTAAACACATTTTCTCCCAACGACAATAAAATACCTCTTTATGAAGTTGTATTTTATATGATAAAGGATAGCACTCTCGCCCCTTCCAAAGTTCTCAGGAGGAATGCTCAGTGCGTTTCTGGCATTAGAAGTTTTAATTACTTTTTCTTAGAACAAAAACAGTCAGCTGGCTGAGAGGATTTCATTATTGATGACACGCATTTAACTGAATCCTAAAGCTGCAACAGTCATTCCTAAATTTTCAGACACAGTTAAAGGTTGTTCCCATAGGGAATGTGAGCCCCAGTCATTCTTAAATTTTACAACAGGGTAACTTTGCGATACTTCCCAAAAATCATGATCACTTTTTCTCCCTCTCAACACACCACTGCCCTTCATGCCTGCAACGAGGAGGTCCGGGCGGCACTGCAGCTATTTGGGGAGAGCTGTCTTTTTCTCATTGCTTGCCTAGAAACCAAAGTCTGAAAAAAAGTCATATTCCTTTTTTTAAAGAAATAGTCTTTTTACTGTCAATTAACGCGGCTGTGGATCTTTGCCACCCGTGTTACCCTAAAATTTTACACAGAACGTTTGTTTTTCGTGGCATTATGGACAGCCTTCCATTTTGCTGTCTGCACGCATCTACTGCTTTAATTCACGTCACACCCAAAGTGATACAAAGGAATTATTTACTGTTTCTAAAACCCTGTAAACTAACTTAGCTCACTTGTAACTCCACGCACAGGCTGCTTATTTCCACTGCTTTGAACAAAGTTAAAATTTTGAGACGATCTCATTCATGCTGGAGTAATTTAGTTTTCACAACCATTTATCTTTAAAAAATATTTTCGCCCTCTCCCTCCTGACGGCCAGCACACCAGGCCCCTCCAGCGAGCGGAGAACACAGTATCTTTTATGCTCTGCGAGCCATCAGCCTCGGAATCCTTACATCAGGAAGAACTGCTTTTTACACAGTTTGCCCAAACTGCCCTTAAAACCATCGAGGGAGACCACCGCTGGACCCAGGCTCAGCCCGACTGGCTGGTCTTGGCCTGTTGCAAAACACGACCAGAACCCGGGTTAGGGTCAGGAACACAACTCTGAGGGGAGAGAAAACACAGGTCTGGCCAAAACTTTAATCCCACCGCGGGCATGAAACCGGAATGGTTCACCCCTAAATACACTCGGTCACTGAGGGGAATTCAAGAGAGAACTTGTAAATACTGTTTTCCATCTCAGGTTTTCAGACGTGGGCTCGAGACCCGGACCGTGTTTACCCTGTTAGGTTCACCAGGCTCCCATTTCTGAACTGAAATTAAAATTGAACATCAGAACCTCAGCTTGTTAATTGTTAAATACCAGGGGTTTTACTCTATTAATTAAAATATGCTTTAATAAAAGGAGACGTTGCACATTTTGATAACGACCCTACAAAGCTGAGAAGTATTTACATTGTTGCATTTTGGGGCGCCTGTGAAAGCCGATTTTCAGCTATTCAGGAGCCGCAATAATAAAGCTTTAAAATTCCTCGCTGGGATGCAATGTAGCTCTTTTGAAGGGAAGACTGTCTTTCTCATTCGGCAGAAATAAATCCATTCATTTGATCATGTAGTCATTGAGGGCAATACAAAACAAACCGAGTGTGAGAAATTCTATGTGATGAAGTAAACAAAACAAAAAAATCCATTTCCATGACAAAAAGAGCCTTTGTCCCTAATCCACCCGCCATATGCAAGCGTTTCTTTTTAGCGCATCTCCGGCTCCAATCTTGGGTGACGAGGCCGCACCGGCTCGGCGGCCTCACCTCAGAGCCACGGAGAAGGCCCAGCTCGCGAATTTTATTTAACGAGTTCCCGGCCGCGTCCTAAGCGTCTTCCCCCTTCTGCGTTCCGACGCGCAGGGCACCAGCTCGGTCAAACTTCACCCCACCGTGCGACCAACGCACACTGCCGCGATTTTCTGCAGAAAGCCCAATTCTCCTGGTAAAAAGATGCGTATCGGCCTCCGAACAACTTAGAATCGGTCCATCCAAAAGTTGGCCGGCTTGTTTTTTTAAGGAAGGAACTCTCCGCTGTCCGCGCGGTGGTGCCGCCGCGGGCCCCCTGCGTCCCGGGGTCGCGCCCTGGGGACCCCGAGCGCCCCGGGCGGCACGGCGCGGACTCGGGCCCAAAACTCCCCGGGAGGAGGCCGGGCCGCCGGCGCCGGGCTCGCCCGCGCGGAGGCCACCTTCGCTTGGGGACGAGGAGGAAGTCCCCGCGGCGCCGCGGAAGCATCGGAGCAGGCCGAGCAAACTTGCAGCCGCCAGGACGTGCCGGGTCCGCCGCGTGCACAGAGCGCCGCGGCCGAGCTCACCCCGGGTTAAGTCCCCAGGCGGCCATTAGGCCAGGCCTGGCGACAGTGCCTGCTCGCCTCGGAAGCGGATCGCTGGTTTGTCAGCGCGCGGGGACTCGCAGCTCCGCGGCCGCGGGGCGCACGAGGCGGGCGGTGCAGGGCGGGGGCCGGCCGGGGTCGGGGCGGCGGCCCCGCTCCGACCGCACGCCGCCCGAGGCGCCCGGCGCCGAACAAAGCTGCTCTGCCCGCGTCCAGCGGGTGGTGAGCCCCGGACGCCTAACCGCCGCTGAGCCCGCCCAGGAGACGCCGGGGTCGCCGAGGCCGGCTCCGCGTCCGGGCGCAGGGAGCCCGGGGGGCGGCGTGGAAGAGGCGGCGCGGACCCCTCCCGCCCCCGCCCAGTCCCGCGCGCTGCTCCCCAACTCCCAGCGGCTGAGCCAAGTTTACTTCGTCCGCAACTCTCCGCGCCGTGCGCTCTGGCGGAGGACCCGTCCCCGCGGCCCGCCGGCTCCGGCCAGGCGCCGCGCGCCGGAGCCTGACTCGCGGGAGCCAGCGCCCCGACCCCGTCTGCCGCGCGTGGCCGCCCCCGCCGCCCGGCGGTCCCCAGCCCCCCGCCGCCCCGCGGCCCCTCACCGTGCTCCGGAGCCCCTTCCGGCGGCGGCAGCTCCTCGTCCGACTTGAGGTGCTGGGGCTTGGCCTGCTTGCGCCGAGACATGCTGCTAGCGGCGCGCGGGCCCCACGCGGGGCAGCGGCATCAGCGGGGCGGCCGGCGGGGACGGCGCGGGGCGGCCGGGCGGGCGCGGGGCGCGGGGCGCGGGCGGCGGCGGCGGCGGCGGCGGCTGCGCGGGCCGCGCATGGGGCTGAGCAATTAGGCTGGTGAATAATGCATGGCCATTAGCGGAGGGCCGCGCCGATTGGCCGGCCTCCAGCGGACTCTGCCGGCCTATGCAAATGAGGCCGCGCTCGCAATTAGCGACCGCGCGGTCCAGGAGGCGGCCGGCGCCCGGGGACCTGGGAGCGCGCGGCCCGGCACCGCCTACATCGCGGGCTCCGCGCTCCCCGGCGCCCAGGTACCGCTCGGCGGCCGGGAGCGGGCGGGCGCGGCGGCCGCCCCTGCCCAGGGCGCAGGCAGCAAACTTTGGCGGCGTCCGCGCGGCGCCGTCTCCGCCGGCGCGCCGGGCTCACCCCTTTATAGAGTGTCTGCGCCGCCGCCCGCCCCCCCCGCCGCCGCCGCCCGGCCGCCCCTCCCGGAGCGAGCGGCCGCGGGCAGGGCTCCGGCCGGCGCCTTTGTCTCCCGGGCCGTTCGGGCGCCGCGCCTCCTGCGCTCCGGGGCGCGGAGGGCCGGCCGGCCGCCTTCGATGCTCGGCGGCGGGTCGCGGCGCGGCTCGGCGCCGGCCCCGCTCAGGCTCAGGTGCCCCCTCTCCGGACCTTCTCTCCCGGCTCGTGTCCCTTCCGCGGGCTCCCCCGGCGGCCGGCTCGGCTCGGAGGCTCGCAGCCGGAGCGGAGCGGAGTGCGCACGCCGGGGTGGCGGGACTTCGGCAAGACCAACTTTCCGGTTCGGAAGCGGCGCGGGCCGCGCGGCTCCTCCCCTCCTCTCCCCACCCTCGGACCCCCTCCCCTCCGCTCCCCCCGTCTCCCCGCCCCCCCGGGCCTGTTCGCCTCCGGAGCGCTCGCCCCGCCCGCCGCCGCCACCGCCCGGGCCGCCGCGGCCCCCTCGCCCGCCCGCCCGCCCGCAGGGCCTCCCCCGCGCCAGGGCTCCTTAAATCCTCGGGGAAGGGAGGGCATGGCGGGCTCTGAGGTCCCTCCCCCACTTCCTTCTCCCGACGGGTGCGGGGCCGCGGCACCTGCGGAGTGGGCAGGGGCACAGGGGGCCGCGCGACGGAAAGTTCTAAGTCCACGAAAGTCCGCGCGCGCAGCCCACCGTGTTCTAGGGCTTGGGTGGGTGGGGGGTGACCTGGGGGGCGGGGTTAGGTGAGAGGGTCGCGCGCGTCCCGACCGGCACCCCCGGGCGGGCGGGCGGGCAGCCGGCGTCGCGCGCTCCCCGCACGCGCACCCACTCTTCGCGGGCGATCACACGCACGCGCCCTCGCCACCGCGCGCGCACCCCCGTCCGCAGCCGTGCACACGCGCCCTCGCCCGCCCCCGCGCGCTCTCCCGCGCGTGTCCTCCATACCCCAGCGGCAGCCAGGATGTGCCGAGGCCCCGCCGCAACAGCGCCCGCGTCCCTCGCCCCAGTATGTCTTTTTAATTTACTAAATTTCTTGTTTTTGTCCTTAAGTGGCCCTGTCTAGTACGTAGCTTTGGCACAGCTGGCCTACCGGCGCTTTCCCCAGCGCCGTGCGCTGGAGGGGAAGCCGGCGGTGACCAGCCGGCCACGGGCGCCCTGAGGGCTGCGATCTCCTGGCGTGGCTGGCTGTGGGGCTCTGCTTGGCTCTGGGACACCCGCCCCCCCAGGGCGGACCCCGACCCTGCGCCGCTCGCCAGGCTCACCGCAGGCTGCCTTCCCATTCTAGAATCTTCCCGCTTCCCAGCCGCTTGCTCCCGCCCGCCTCTAATTGTGTAAGTTTCACGAAGCAACAGCTTTGGGCTCCAAGAAAGCGAAGGGGAGTCATTTCGAGGAAGGAACGTATGGGTTGGAGTCGCCCCCGGAGAGCGCCCGCGGCCACTTTTGCAAAAAGAAGAAGGAATCCCTTAATGTTGTTTCTGATTTGCTTTTTGGTGGCAGGCGCATTCATTTCGGTGATTTTGTTTTTGCAAAGAAAAGATGACCAGTACGAGATGTCCCAAATCCCCGCCCCCCCCCCCCCCCCCCCCCCAGTAGCGCTGGCATGGCTGGCTAGGGGGGAGCCACCTCCCGTCGCCCTCGCGGCTGGGAACTTTTGCAAAGGCTGCGAGCGTTTCAGGGGCCGCCCCTGCCTCAGGTGCAGAAGTGCTTGGCGGTGAAAAGTTTGCAGCCAGGCTTTGGGGCGCAGGGCGGCCAGGCACCGTCCTGGGGGAAGAGGGGCAGAGGGCGGGGGCGGTCTCAGAGAGTGGAGGCTCGTGCATCATTTCCAGGCCGGCCCCGGGTCTGGGGGAGCCGCAGCGCCGCAGGGGAGCGGCGGATGTCGGGGAGGCGGCCCCTTCCCCGCAGGGAAGGAATGCAGAGGGACCCTCGCCGGGCGGCCCTTGGTCGGAGGTGCACTGCTGCTTGTGGCCTGCTTCATTCTTTTCCCCCTTTTTCTTCTCTTTTCTTTCTTTCTTTCTTTCTTTCTTCCTTTCTTTTTTAATTCGGCACTTGGGGGAAAAGAAGCAAGTCGCTCCCGCGGCGCCCGAAGCTTTCTCAGGAAGCCCGAGCCGGGCTCCCCGCAGCCTCCTGGCCCTCAGGGCGCCGGCCCCTCCTGTTCGGGTCACTTTGTGCCCCTGTCCCCACCTTGTTTGTCCCTAAGGCGGTTCGCCCGCCCCCGAGGCCCCCCACCCCCTCTGCCCTACACTGCACGATTTCTCAGGGTCTTTCTGGGACTTCCAAACGCAGATGTTTAATTTCCTCGACTTGCTTTGCATTTTCCACGAGGTGAGGTCGTTGGGAGCGTCTTTTACGTCCCTCCGAGGAGGGCGACCCCGAGGCCCTGCCCTGTGGTCTGTGAGCAGCCAGCCTTCAGGGTGCAGAGGTGCCGCGCAGGTGGGGATGCGCTCTGTGAGTGGGACAGCCCGGCGGGCGGCCCGCGCGGTGCTGGACACAGAGGCGCTCGCCGAGTCCGCCGCGCGAGGGCCGGGCGCCGAGCGCGCGGGCGGCCTGCCCCGGGCCGGGCCGCGGGTGGGCCGGTGGGTGCGGGCGCGGGCTCCCTGGCGCCCTGCGCGCGCGCTGCGCTGGCATTTCGTTGAGAAAAATGGGCGAAAGGGCCAGGAAGGCTGCGCCAGTTCCCCCGCGGCTCACAGGGAGCGGGCCAGGGCATGGGGCGGGGGGCGGGGGGGGGCGGTGGCGCAGCCTCTTAAACCGGCGGAGTAAACACCCTGAAAAACAGTGACGGCGAGAGCGAAAGTCGCGTTACTTCCTGACTCCTCTACTCTTCCTTCCAGGCCTCCTTCCACTGAGACCGGAAACTTTTCTTTGTTTTTATTCGGTGCAGCAAGTTTTAAGGAAAATGCATACGACGGAAGCTTGAGACGCTACAGCAGACTTATTTCGAGGTGAAAACGTGTCACCGGAATGTTTTCACGGCCCGGGCCGGGCCGCCCGCCGGGCGGCGGCGGAGGCGCGCGGAGGTGGCCGCGGCGGGGCGGCAGGGACCCCGCGCTCCGCCCGCACAGGCTCGCCGTCACATGGCCGCCGTCTGTCACCGCCCTGCGATACCTAAACACGATTGCAGAAACAAAAGTTGTTGTTCTTCCCTGTAATTAAATCTAATTTGTTCATTGTCTTTCCTCTTGCCGTGTTTTCGTCTTGAGGCGACACGTTATTATTTTCTCTGCGCAATAATATTATTTACAAATTAATACTGTATATTTTACATTAGTGGAACGTACAATTAGGTGTTTGATGCGATTTGTATCATTTGTTCAGACAGAACGGCCTCCCCGCAGGATCGGCCCGAGGTGGGAGGCGGGAAGTCGGTTCTGTCCTCCGGGCCCAGCTCCTCGGCGCTTCCTCCCTCTCCGTCCGCAGTTTCACATCAGGCGCTTCGGCCGCTTTCTGTACAGTGCGCGGACTTCCCCGGCCACTTCTTACAAGACGAGTATACAAGTATTAGGGCTTCTATTTTCTCTCTCCTTTCGTTCTTTGATTCTGCCCAGATCAAAGCGCCTTTCCCTCGCGGGCCGCCCCGCCCCTGGTTGGCCCCCGCCCCTGCCTCGTGGTTTAGGTCCTGGCGGTGGCACCCAGCGCGATTTTCTGTCCTCAGTGCCGTGACAAGGGACCGCTAATTGGTTCTTACTTGAGCAGAGATATTACCATACTAATATTATTATTGGTAAGAAGAGGTAATTGATACCACCACCTGCCACTCCGGAGCAATCACAATGATAAATGTTTCCATCAACAGGAAATCTGTGCTGGGTGCGCGGCCGCCCCGCCCGGCAGCGTGACAAGTGCCCATTATAAAGATGTTGCTTTTCCATTACGCGGGGGTGGGGGGCACGGGGAGACCTGGGGCCCCGCGTTGTATCTGTGGCTTCTCGAGAGCGCCTTTCCAACGCTTCGGCGCCCGCTCGAAGGCCCCTTCCCCCACACGGAGAAAGCGCTGCATGTGAATGACCCGGCTCCGCGCGCCGGCCCTGCCCACTCCCGCCGGTCGCCCTCTTTGCTTCCAAACCTATTGAGAGAAACGCCTGACTATTCCTCTGCAGAGCCCAGGGCGGAGTGCACGTGTCCGCCCACGTGTGTGTGCGGGCAGCCTTGTGTGCTCGCCACAGGACGTGGAGACAGCACACGCAAAAACATTCCATGGCTTTTCATGCCGCGTGCAGGGACGCCTCCCTCTTCTCACCGAGGGGCGCACGCGGTGTCCGGGTGCTTCTCGGCGGCGCGTCCCCCGAGGGTCCGGGCGGAGGGCAGGACCGCGCCCTGGCACGGACCAGGCCGGCTGGCCGGCTGAAACTTGGACTCCCCCCCCTGGAGGCTGACTCCAACGATTATTATTAGCTTGCATTATTAGATGCAGGCCTCAAAAGGCGAAATCAGCTATTGATAATTGCAAGAAGTATACAGCAGCTACTGTATCGATCGGCTTGTCCCTATTC